ATTCATATTTATTGATGTCGTTAATATCAATGGCTGCGAGTAGTCATTGGTGACTGTCATATATGCACTTGTCGTTTGTGTCATCATTATCTTCACCATATTTCCTGTTCGTCTATGAGTTTCTATATTTAGAAAGAAAAAGTCATGGATTCAATAGTGTTGAACAATTTCAAATGTTAAAAGGTATCAATAGCAAAAAGCTTGATAAAAAAATGAAGCAAAAGTAAACTAATTTCTTCATTGTTTTTACCTGGCAAACATGAATGATCATAGAATGCAAATTCCGAATAGTGTACTCCGCTTTCAACTCCTCGTTTCAATACTACCAACAGACGATAGCTTCGGTAAGGTTGACTATTGTTGAACTTTTGAAAGACACCTGTTTTGCCTCGACCCGGATCAATTTCAAGTCCACTCAATCCATTGTATATCAATGTCCAACTGCTACCAAGTGTTAACAAAGATTTGTCAGCATTACTTCCTTCAAGTGTAACCATTATTGGATCTCGTTTTGGATGACTAGTTGTAGTTGTAAACTGGAATCGATTCACAATACAAATGCCAGCATTAAGTGTAATATAAAAGCCTGTATTTAGACCAGTTTTTAGACTCCTGGTATTAGTTGATCCTGATCCAAAACTTCTATATTCAGTATGAATAGTGTGATCAAAAATATTCGAAACTGTTTCTTTTGATGCCATTTTCCCTTTTCCATAACCTATTGACGCTAGATAACTATTTCTTCCTACTTTAGTATTCCAAATTGCTGATACACTATTGTGAAGTGTATCGATATAATGTTCTAGAATGAAAAGGTAATATATAAGTAATAAAACTTCTATTGTGACAAGAAGAATTACATACGAATAGGAGTAGCACAGTCGATTCCTGTCCACGTCGACTTGCATTGGCAGATGCCAAATTGGAAATAACCACTATCGATACATGTTCCATGTATAGTATCCGTACATTGATTATAGCAATATACTGGATTTGATAAATATCGATTAACGGCTAATTTGATCAGTGCAGCTTTTTGAAAAATATATGAATCACCAGAGAAATGGCCACTCGTTAACAAATCAAAAATAGTAGAAATACCATATTTCACAAGGACTGGATTATCTGATACTGACTTATACCAATCATCAAACGATTTTATTGAAATATTACCACCAAATATCGTAACATTACTTTTGGTGAAATACTTATCAGAAATATTCATTAACATTTTATCGTATGTTTGCGTTCGATTTCATTTCATTTGAACTGAAAAGAGTTCTTTGGCAACATCTCTCATCCATACTTGGTTCGATTTCATGATCATATCAATTATTGAGTGTATTTCTCTTGAGTAAGCATAAGAGAAAGAAACATTAACATATCTTGAATTTTGTATAAAATCAGTTGAACAATCGACGGTTTTCAACATATGTTCTTTTAGATCACGTAATGTATTAATAATTTGTGTTTCGATATTAACATTCTTCGAGGCTATACAATTGATTCTCACATTTTCTGATGTGGAATGATTGGTACAAGTTCCTTTAGATGGAACAAAATACTTAAACTTGAAAATAGGTAAAGCAAAACCTTCTCTTTGACAAAAGTTGGTGTAACAAATAGGAGAGCCTTTTAATGGATTATAGCCAAGACCAAGAGGAACACTGTTTTGAAGTTGAACTTTGGATGCATGTAGTTGTTGACGAATAAATGACCATCGATCTTTCACAATTTCGGCTGCAACAATCAAACGAAAAAAATCAGAAATATAAACGTCATCTAATTTAAATAGTTATCTTTATACATGAAAATCTAACAATGATATGACACTTTGTATTGAGTAAACTAGTCGCTTATGTTTCTCGTTAATTAGACAGAATTTGTCTTCTTATACGAATTTATTATGAGAAAAACCATAAGCTCGACTATTATTTTACTTTTTAAAAAGAGCTGCTTCAGATCAAACTAAACTATTTATTTTATCAAGAATGTAATAAACTCTATTTCTTGAGACGTTATTTACTTGCTTTCCCTGGCATTAAGTGTAAATGATTAATCACTAGTCCGAAAGAAGAAAATTCTAGCCGATTTCAGCATTATGTTTTTTTCTTGTTCAAAACCATTTTTCTGAAGACACTTTCAAAGTCTGAAAAGATTGTGCGCAATAGCTTCTCTCTAAATAAGTTATATTGATTCTGAAGGGAGCTGTGAAATAGATGAAGGTTCTCTTAAATTTTGTTTGCCAAGTACTTACTTTCTGATAAAAGACAACCAGTGTTGTTAATAGTAAATTTTTGTACTCGTGAATTTCCAACATCGGCAACATACAGATTTCCTTCAACATCGAATGCCAGTGATTTTGGTCAGTCTAGATGATATGTAGAATTGCCAGATTCACCTATCATTTTATTATTAATAAAAAAGTTCAAAAATAAATGCAAATTTCATTGCTTACCTGAGATACCACAAAGAACTTCTCCTTGTGTCTCTCCTTCTTTCCATCGAACAATTCTATGATTGATCATATCAGCAATGTAAATGAAACCATTGTTATCACCTATAATGTTGTATGGTCGATAAAGAGAACCATTCGATTGATCTTTTTTTCTTGTCTGTCCAGCAATCGTAATGCCATTTGTTGCATTTTGTGTCCATTTCTGTATTCGATGGTTGTTCACATCACTAATGTATATATCCTTCGCATTGTTGACATATAAACTATACGGATAAGAAAGTGTTTGATTCGAAGATCCATCAATATTTGTTATTCCAGCTACAATTATCGTTCTATTCGTGTGGATATTACATTTAATAACACGAGAATGAAAACGTTCGACAATATAAAAATCTTGATTTTCTGAATCGAACCATACACGAGAGCATTGATTACATTGACAATTTATTTTCTCTCCTTGTCTTGCATCTTTAAACCAACGTTGAATATTTCCATTGTAAGAAGCTGTGTAAATGGTTGCATTTTCATCGATTAGAATGATAGACTCGAATTCATTCCACAATGTATGACCAACAAGAGATCCATTTGGAAATATTTGTAATCGAGTTTTGTCATTGTAACTATCAACAACATACAACGTATCAATTCCAATAATTGCAATTCTTTCCAGATCATTGATATGTGTATTCAATTCGTTTCCTACAATTGTCTCACCTGCACGAATCCACTTTGAGCAAGATCTAATTTGAGATGATATTGTATTGACAGTTTTCGAAGAAGTAAATTCACTTTCTTTTACTATAATAGATAATTATTACTAACTTATATTGATTTAGAAAAAAAAAGTAGACTGTCAACAATCGTAACCATTTCAGTTTCTTTGTTTCATTCTTGTTCAATACGTAAATTTCAAGAAACAAAAAAAAAGACTCACTCTTATGTTGTTTTGATAAAGAATTCATTGTTAAATTATGACTAGTTGAATTCATACATGTTGTTAATACGATAGATACAACAAACAAATAACCTTTTCGTAGTATGATAATCTTCATTTCTCTGCAATAATTCTGCAATTTTTAATTTGTTCCAATCAATCACAGTTGCTAAAATCACTTTGAAACTAAAAAAAAAGAATTATAATATAGAAACATAAAAAATCGTTACTGTCACAAACTTTCTTTTTCTCTTATAGAAAAGGATATGGCAAAGCTAATATCTCTTTTGCTGTTTATTATTAAATTATTCGAGATAAAAAGAAAAGTCAAGTACAGTTACCGTAAAGAAATGTATCGTTTATCAGCTGTCAACATTTCCGTAATAATTTACTGTAAAATAAGAAATGGTCTGTCAGTATCTGTAGTCCTTCATGAATATTTATTCAATTATCAATGGCAAAAAGAAAAATAGCAGTAGTGGACAATTGAACCAATCGATGGGGAAATTGTTCCCATTTATAGAGAAATGCTTCACCCCACATAAAGTCATACATATCAATGAGAAATAGAAAGAACGAATATAAACATATGCGTATCTTTTTCTGTTGTTTTATATGCATTTTGATTCAAGCAGAAATGGAAAGAAAAGATTGTTGGAACGAAAATTTCATTTCTTATAAACCAGCAGCATTGTTATCCACATATGATCAGCCTGAAACGCAGTCATCGGTGTGTACTAGCGTTATTAACATAACATTCTTCTTCTCTTGTATTAAAGAAAAGATGTGAGAGAATATTTACATTTACAGAATAGAATTAGATCACTGGAAAGATTTTTATTCTTTAAACACAAGATACATAAATTCTTTATCTTATAAAATAAAGATAAGCAAATTCTCTCTTTCTAAACACTACAGATCAATTAAATAATAAAGACAGATTTTTTTTCCTGAAAATCTGTACTTTTATTTCGATGTGAATGCCCCCCAAAAGCTGCAGTATCACACATACAAATAAAATATACACAAGCTTTTATGCACACATCTTTTTACATTTCATCCACATTGTTTTAACAACATCACATACAGCATTACATCCAATAGAAAGCAAGAAAGCTGATAAACATATCCTGCTCTTATATTAAGGATTTGTCTATCTACCTATCACAAACAGAAACCTTTCTTTCTTTTCTAATTCATCTTTCTTCTTCAAAAATACACAATTTATTTATCTTTATTCCGACAAGATAAAGATTCCATTAAATTTTATATTTCCAAATTAAACATTTCATTTTGTTACAAGCACCGCCTTTCACTTGATTCACATTTCACCTAGATCATTTTATCGTTTTTCCTTTCTTTTTTTATGATATCATTCGCGATTATACTAACTTTTTCCTTGCTTATGCACCCTGGATCATCTCTTTCTTTTCTTGATATATCTCTCGCTTCATGTCACCCGCTCTTTATACATATGTATGTTAAACATAGTACAACCTTGTTCTGTAGTGTAGTGTGAGAGGTTCACAGACCATGTCAATCTATGTCTTTAAAAATATTCATTTCTACAAGTACTCATCTATAAAATAATAAAAAAATAATTGATTTCTGAGAAACGGATCACGAATTTCTCATTAAAGAAATTTTATTCATTTTTGCTGATATTCTAAGACTAATCTGATCGATTTCTCCTTATGTCTCATACATTTCTGCTTGTGATAGTAGAAATGGATTATGGATTTCTACTGAAAAGTTTTGCATTTCTGCTATAAAAATCCTTTTCTGCTAGAATTTCTCCTTATAGTCAGGAAATAATTTTATTTATTTCTGCTAATACTATAAGACTAATCGGATAGATTTCTGCTTATATCTCATACATTTCTCCTTGTAAAGGTATATATGATTGACGCGTTTCTGTTTGACTTTATATGGGGTAAAGAATTTCTACTGTAAGTGGAACAATTTCTCAATTTTTGAGGATATCGTCCAGCCTTCGTTTCCAAACGGTGTGGGTGTGGGAGTCAGAAAAGAGACAAAAATAACACCCACATCCATATATCCACATCTACATCCACACCCACACNCATGATATATGTTAACATATAGTTGCCTAGTTGATAAAGGGAGTGAACAAGTATTGTTTCGTTGATAAAACAAATGTTTTCCACAAGTATCTTTTTCTTTCGACGAGCCCACGAGCACAGTGTGAATCAGTGAAAAAAAATAATATTTTTACTTTCGGTGTCTCGTATCTTCACGAACGTGCACGCCATATCGCGCTTTCATGTTGATTATGTTACGTCTTCCGACTATCAGGTAGTTTTGCTTTTCTTTGCGTTCTTTCTCCTTCTTTTTTTTCTACGCAAGCAAATATTAATATAGGATTATAATCAATTTATGTGTCATCAGTGGGAGAATGAAAAACAAAATCTACTATTGAGTCACAAGAATATATTACTCATAAGAATCAAATCCTTTGCTATTGCTAGCTTGCTGGAAAATGGATTTCAATGGAATATTAACATGTGAAATATTCATTCAAATTCAATTAACTGAACACAGGTATATACTGTCAGTATTGTTTGTTACAGTGAATCACTTTCTGTGTAGGTACAATCGTCATCAACATTGATTGATCGACAAGCAATGCAAACATACTGTCTGTTCGAAATGAACAAAGACATTGACGCCACCGTTACTGTGTTTACGAATTCATCTTTTGGTTATCTCGTAGATTTCTTATGAAAATCTTGATAAAAAAACACTAAGATGGTAATGAATCCACGTCCAAATTTGAACATCTGTCGTGTGGGTATGCTGATAAGAACGAGGCCTCTATTGTACCCACACCCTATCGGCTAGATAACTCAAAATATTTTGAGACGTTGAAAGAAGATTACTAGAAGTGTAGGAAAAAGATGCTGGCTATGGATGTGGAGTGTGACTGACTGAATACCGGTGTCAGCATGCATGGTAGTCTTGTTTTCGCCGAAACTCACCCATCACAACCAATATGTCAATTAATTGGATGTAAATCCAGAACACTGCCAAGCAAAAATAGTTTATCTCAATAGAAGACTAATAAAAAAAAACCTGAAATTCTCTTATTCAATGGGCTATAATCAATGCCGTCAAATATAACTTAAATAAGGTAGTCATTTGGACATGGCAGTCTTTCACATATAAAATAAGCTGTTTCTATAAATAAATAATTAATTAACTGTGTTTTATTTTTGTTTTAGCCATCGATATTATCGCGTCGCATCGTATCGTTCAGCATCAAAGGTCGTGAGTAGCTATTTTATTTTATTTTTTCAGAAGAGACAATAGAGGAAAGGACATATGAGATTAGATGAGGTAATTCGAGTGATAGGGATAGACTTGGAGTTTAGAAGGGTACCTTCTAATGAGAAGTGGATGGGTGAATTATAGCCCTCGAGATCATTTGGATAGGTCCCTGCTATCTACAGGCCTTCCAGAGAGGCCCTAAAAGCTTGGTCAGGAACTATCTTAGCGTCTATGACACACGACCCGATTTGCACCAGATTCTTTGGCACATTTCTGATGTAGATGATTTGAGTCTGTCCCGTGCATGCAGGAATAGAATAGTCATTAGATATTTTTCTTTCAATTACAGTATATTGAAGGCAAAGAGAACGAAAAATAATAATTATTGTGTTTAGTCTATTCGATTGAAAATCGTTGAACACAATGATTATTGTGATCGACGACATAGAGATTGCCATGAAGGTCAAAAGACAAACCACAGAGTCCATTCAACTGATTTACTCCTGGTTCATGACCATTTCCACCCACAACAACAGTACCTTGTGTTGCTCCTTTACGCCAACATATCACTCGTTGATTCCACGAGTCTGTCACATAGAGGATACCCAATGTATTGACGAACAGTCTGCTGGAACCATACAATTGTGTCAGAGCATTCCCTTCGCCATAACCACCAGCTACGAGAGTTCTATTCTTGTATTCTATTTGATATCGTCTTACTTCCTGCTTGTCAATATCAGAGATGTAGATATATCTCTGCTCATCCATCGTCAATCCCAAACAACTGCTGATGTTGTCAATGAAGATTTCTCCTTGATTTATGTTACTACGACGAGACCTCCTTGAATTCGGACACAACCTATAAGTGATCTCCGAAAGCTCTGGAGGTGAGGCCTAAATGCTGAGAAAAGGATTCAAAGCGAATCTCCAAGGAGTTGAAAGAATTTTTATAGATTCTAGATACGGTCCCAAGCGACTTTCGGAGTATATGAAGAAAGTCAAGCAAAAATCTTAAGAGGACCTAACACGAACTGAATGCCGAGTGAATCTGATGGCTATCTTACACTAATCAGAATAGAGTATTAAGTAGATAGTTAGGTGATTTTAAACCTGATAGTATCTGCATGGATATTCTAGGAGGATTTAAATGGGAATGTTAGGAAGATCTGAATAGGGATACTTAGAAAAAACTTAACTCAGATGCTAAGGTGATCTGATTGGTGATGCTAGGAAGACCTAAACAGGAATGATAGAAGCATCTAGAAGAGAATCCCTAGAAGGTGTAAAATGGTGAGACCAACTGAGTGTATAACACAATATTCTTCTTTAGAATAATTTAATACGTTCATATTCTTCAGTTATCGTAGTGCTAACGAGAAAAAAAGAGTGTGGATGTGGATCCTGCCTTTATCCACACACAACCACATTCTTTCTAGACAAAAGCTAATCCTGACAAGGACTTTTGTTAGAAATGAAAATATTTGTGTTAGGAGCTTGTGAGACCCTTTTGTACGTGTTACTGCCAGATCGAAACAGGATTCACTCTGAATACTACTTTGGATCTGAGCAAAGATACCAGAAAGGTTTTTGCTAATAGGTCACTGAGATTTTGACGATCAGGTCGTAAACATCTTCACAGTAGAAAAACGCGTCGAACGAATGAATATATCTTCGTTGAAGAAATTTAACGCGTTTGCTTTTTGAAAGAGCGTATTAGTAGAGACAGAGCAATCATATTTCATGCATGCAAACTTTGTGAAGTATAATTGAGATGAATTCTTATCAGAATTCATTTAAGTTATAATACTTCAGGTAACGCAAATTCTACAGATATTATTGTTGTCTCTAGATATATATTCAATTGCAATGGTCAATGAATATGACATCTATAACAACTCCTTTTTAGATTTCGGGTCACCTTGAGTCTTATTTTTTGTATTTTTCAAATATCTGAAGTTGCACAAATCTGAAAAACAATTATAACATCTGAACTATGATTCGAAATTGACTCTATTCAATTGACATCATTCGGTTCTACTCTTTTTAGAATACTTTGCCCAGAATCTAGTAAAACCCTACAAGATGTAGACAGATAGTAAGTTTTCAATTAAGATTGGTTTACGTCTTCTTCTAAGATCTTCTTCTGAATTCTGTTAAAAAAATTTTGAATTTTCGTGCCTATACGTTTTGTTTCCAAATTTACGATCACCTGAACCAATAGCTGATTTTAAATCCGGTTAGAATCTTAATATTTCGAGACTACAAACTTTCTTCAAGATTTGGTCTTCTTTTCACAAAAAGAACAGCGAATTCTTGCAAGATCTTTGTTGAAATTATCCAGGACCTGCTGTAAAATAAGTAAAGACTTTTCGTCAGGGAACAACGGAAAGAAGTAACACATGAATAATCAACTTTATATAGCGAAAAATCTTGTGAACTGCAATATTTAGTAAGTTTCAAATTATAATTGGCTAATGCAATTCAAAAAAAGATCGATTCAACTCAATTTAATTGATGAATTAAATGAAAGAAATCGGAAATTATATTCGAAATGAATCAACTGGTCTGAAATTTTCTTTTCAATATGTTGAAATAATATAGTAATGCCTAGTTTGAACTTGAAGAGTCAATTCTGTTTAAGACCTGAGATATGTTCTCTCGTATCAATCAATTTCGATTTCTATTAGCTTATGTCATGTACATCTAACATGTTGATGTCGCATAAGAGTTGCAAGAAATCACAAAATAAATAGAGGTGGCATTTGAGAGCCGCTATCCAGCCATGAGCAATGCTATCAAGAGTTGGTTTGGTAAACTCTATGTGACTATTTGAAATTTGCATAAGTACCTCAATTAGATGTGAGTAACATCTTAATGCGTCTATTTTTTCTTAGAATTAGAGATGCAATGTTGTCAGGCATAGACCTTCAAGTATGTTAGTGAGAAGCGATTAAGTTGTGAAGTGAGAAATCAATCTCAAACTGTTAAATGTTGTTTTGCATATTTTAAACATTTAGTAGTCACAATAGATAATGATATGAAAAAAGCATTTATCATCGTATTTTTTTTTATTTATTTACGGCTTTATCCTTTTAAGCTTCATTATCAACTTTTGTATGCAATAATCATCATAAAACCTTCGATTTAAACAACGGGTCGCTGAACATTTTGAACAAAGCTGCTTTCGTCAAGTTGCAAATATTTTATATTCGGTAATAAAAACTACCAGTATAGAATAAAAGAGCAGCTATGAAATAATATACCTATTACGATAGTTCTTTAATATTCGTTTTATGACCCATAACTTACTTTTCACTTTTACCCCTTGACGAAAATTTTTGAGAGTAATGAAATTATGATTAGAAATAATTGAAAAAGAGCGTGAATCTTCTTATGGCACAGCCCACAATACATACTCACGCTCTCACCATAGAGTGATTACTTAATCTGTTGTGCCATAATTATTGCATGGTTATTTATACCATAGCTACTAGACCTAAAAGAGGCTACCTAATCCAGAGAGACTTTTCTCACGAACGGGAATTCAAAAATTCGGGCTGGGTGTGGGCTGTGGGTTTGAAAAGAAGATCGCTATCGATAGTCATACCCACACCCTGTTAAGCCTATGGTACAAATCATATGAGTTTTCATTCTTCAGAAAATTTAGTAGGCGAACAGGATATATGATTTCCAGTAAATAAAATGGATTATGCTGCACGACATATTTACTCTTGCAAAAAAAGCATATAATGGTAGAACTTGAATAAACAAAGCCAATATGGGCTCAGTAGACAATGGTACTAAGGACCTTTGTTGTTAGATGGAAGCAATGGCAGGTGCTTCCATAACTTCGCACCCCGAAAGCGATATTTCCAAACAATATTTAAAGGCATAAAATAAAAATTTGAAAGCTGATTTTCCGGGTGTTCTTTATGGATGACCCCTACGACGTTTTCCTGGTATTTTCATTTCAATAGATCTATTCTACGAAATTTCACCGCTAGTTTTCGATAGATATACTTTCTTAAAAAGAAACGGAATACTTGGTATATCATTAATGTTGATCTCCAAATTTCCCTGCTTTTATAGTATTACATAGTAACAACAAGTAATGCTCTCTTACTCTATCAATTTCTAACTTATGAGCCACAATATCCATATTCAAATCGGTTAATTTTAAATCACCCAAATTAAGACTTGATTGGTTTGTGTTGTTATTAATTCATTGCTCAAGTTGTTCGTTTTTATGTTTTTCAATTTTTTCCAGTTTGACCTCACTAATTTTGGATTTAATTTCCTGGATTTTGCTAAGATCTGGTATGTGGTATTTGTTCCTTATTAATGGTTTCAGTTCCTTTAGATGCTTACTCGTTCTTTGTATATACAGGATGTATCATAAGTTTCAAGGCTTAACGAAAATTAGTTCTCATATAAAGAAAAAGTATTCTCAAGCCTGATGTTTTTATATGAGGTTTGAGTATTCGTGATACTCTATCAAATGGTGCATTAGCAGATGATATCTTCTCTTACAGTAATAAAAATATAAATACGAGAATGTAACGATAAATTTTATGAAATCGATCAATATGAGTTTTTTAAAGAATATTTTGAAAAAAGTTGGACATGTTGTACAAAAAAAATAGTATAACAAAACCAATAACTAGGTAATTTAATCGTTTATCCGACGCTCAATGTTAGTGACTGATGATACGTTCAGCTAAGCTATACGTTCAGTAACCGGAGAAAGTGGATAAAATATATGAATACCTCACGTGCGTAACGGAAAAGCACATGCTGTGTACAGAACGAAAACTTTTCTCTTTATCGGACGTGTTCATTTTTTTTTTATTTAAAACGTTTATTGACTGTATTGTACCGTTGACCGTTTTTCTATAGATTCTAATCAAGCAAAAACAAATTATCGAAAAAGTACCTGTCGATTTCTGTTATTCTTTTATTTTTGCTTCTTTAATTCAGTTTAATCTGATTATTATTTTCTACTTGATATTCATTTCGACATTCTCAAGATATTTTGACGCCTAGTAAATCAATTCGATTACAAGAGAAATATTGTTCCGACCACTCGTATTATTATTACATCGTCAAAATCCTAGCTGGGCTGTACCTGATATTGCAGATTTTGTTGAACAGTCACACAATCCATCGAATTTAACTTGACATGCTTTAGTGAATAAAATTCACTATTTATTAGCGAGAGGATCAATTGATGATAGAAAAAGGTCTGGTAGATCACCAACTAGCACAACTGCATCTTACAGAAACATGGTCTTAAAAAACATTCAAATACAAAACAAAGCCAGTGTTAGACATGTTTCAGCAAAATTAAAAAGATTAGGTTGGCAAACATCACCATCTTCAGTTTATAGAGTTGCAAAATCAGCTAATTTGAAATGGTTCAAAAAACAAAGATGTCAAAAGTTGACATATGAGAATAAAATGCAACATATTTCATGTGCTAAAATATTGAGAAAAAATTTTGGTATTACAAAAAGATCAAAGAACTGGATCTGGAATCAAACTATTAATATAGATTTTTCAGGGAAATTTACTTTAGAATCACATTCAAATCCACACAATGAATATATTTGGACAAGAGATGCTGATGAAATATCACCACCACACCGTAATCGACCAAAAAACAAGTTTGCGAGTGGTGTTATTTTTTGGGGTGGTATTTCATACAACGGTGGAGTTCCTAAAAATGGTCACATTGATGTTACCTCATGGTTACAAAAAACAAGTGAAAGATAAACAAAAGAAAAGAAATCGCTTATGAATAAATTCAAAATGTGTGTCGAACAGATGTTATATTTCAAGACGATCCAGACTAAAAACAACGAACAAAAGTTGCATTACAAACTGTTGACGATTTATTGTATGACTGAATTTTCCCACAAGAAGGTGATGCTAAGTTCGATGACGTCTGGTCCATCGAAAATATATGGGGAATATTGAAGGAAAAAGTATGAGATGAACAATTTTCAAATTTTGAACAGTTAAAAAGTAGATTGAACAAAGAATGGAAAAGAATAATCTGTGATGATTGTCAAAAAATGATTGATAGAATTGCTAAACGACTTGGTGAAGTGATAAAACGTGGTGGTGAGCAGATATGTGATAGCTAAATCACATTTTTATGTAATCCAACTAAATATATGAATTGATAAACAAAAATGTATTTTGCAAAATATATTACTGATCGATTTCAAAAAGTTTATCGTTACTTTTTCGTGTTTATATTTTTATTACTGTAAGAGAAGATATCATCTCCTAATATGCCATTTGATAGAGCGTCACGAGTACTCAAACCTCATAAAAAAAACATTAGGTTCGAGAATAATTTTTCTTTATATGAGAACTAATTTTCGTCAAGCCTCGAGACTTATGAAACACCCTGTAATCATCAAAGAATATTTTGGCTTCATGCCGCTTCCTTGTTTGTTTGTCTTGACCATGAATAACGACCTTTAATATTTGTTTAATCAAACTCTGCTGTTCGCCTTGAAGTTCTTTTTTATGATTATTAATTTTTTCATTTTTTTCACTTTCAGCATTCTCGATATTCTTTATCAAATCTTTTTCCTGCTTGTTGATGAGCCGACAAACAGTTTTCATCACCTCAGTTATTTGTGATTTATTTAATTTAGCTTCATCTTGAATTTCTGTAGCCATTTTTTCCACTTGATTTGACCGATAGTCCAAACATAATTGAACTGCCTGTAAGCCATCTTCACACTAAGTTTTCTTCTAAAGGCTTAACGGTGCCTGTTACTAAGACCAAATGGTAATCTTTGTGTTTGAATTGTTGACAATTGTTACAAATCTCTTTTTTGCAATCTCCACATCAATGAGTAACCTTGTCATTATGATCTTCCTGGCATTTGGGTATGTCAGCTGGTCTATCTTTAACCGGAAGCTTTGTATGTTTTGTATCTGTGACATGGATACGTAGTTGATCCGGGATGACCTAAGGAAAAACATTATAGTAATGATTAATGATCGAGTGCAAATGAATTGAAATTCTGAGAGTTTAAGATTATGGAAAATGAGATGACGTTATTTCAAGATTAAAATAAGTTTTCTACGCTTTCAAGGACTTGTAGATTATTTTCAGGATATTTTCAAGATTCTTGAAGCTCAATAAAAGTCAAATACTATTGTCATCTAAGATTTCTCATTAATCATATAACCATAAAACAAGTTTTAGGTAAATTGAAATTCAAATGATTGGAATCAAGATGCCTCTATGTCTATTCCCTCAAACCAGATAACACATATATCCACACCCACACACTTAGATTTCTCATACGTTTTGATGTAATTCAGGTACAGGAGAGTATTTTTGTGCACCAAGAGCTGCCGAACTGTTGACGAATCAGGTGATAAATATTATTCTGATGATGGCATCGAGAATATTGTTGTATTCTAAAACCATTGACTTGAATTTCAAACTAATGCCAGCATCAGAAATACCATCATCACAAGTTTCTACAGGCTCCATACCATTGGAATCATCATCAGCACCATCATTATCAACCATGACAACAACAGAACAATTAACATCAATAGCAACAGCGACGGTACTATCACTGCCGATATCTTTGTAACTCTCTCGATACTCATCATCAAACAAAATTATCGAAAAGAGGAATACGACGTTTGTGTCGTCATAGAACAAGCGAAAGAGATGACGACAAAGGCTGCGGTTAGCATCTGAAAGGTCCTTGAAATTATGGAAAATACAAAGACAGCGTTAAAAGACTCGAGATGTGAAAACGAACACAAGCTATGAAAAACATAAATGTTGTATAAATTGATAAAATCGAAGAAGGGGCGAAAGAAGTATTATTGATGCCAATGAAAGTCAGTTAGACTTTCGTATTAACACCAGGTGACATTGTATCGACAGCGAACAATAGTGAAGTAATGATAGAGCTAATAGATTTTATTGTAAACAACATTGAAGTGACGACTCATGCGATTTCAACATTGTTAGATGCAGTGATTCCTAAACATGATTCGGATTATTGATCCTGATCAAGAATAACAACTTCTTTTGTAAATATTAGTGAACTCAAATCATGGCAGGTGCTAATATTTGCGTGTGAATGTAGATGTATGTTTTGTTTTTATTTCTTACTCTGTAACGGCATACTTGACATTTAATAAAAATAATCTTTTCATATAGATTGATCATGGATTAATAAGAGAAACTCTTCTAAAAACCAAATATTAAATCTGCTTATGAGATGTGAAATCAAGAAGCATGTATTGAAATTATTTTTATAATTCCATTCAATTCCGAACACAGAAATTTTCTTGTTTTCTTCAAATCTGATCTCCAGTTCATGAAACTTACCATACATTCACAATCTCTTTATTATTGATGTACAAGATGGACTAATAAAACACACATATTGAACCACATCGAATAATAATCATGTAACTGCGTACGAATCGTATGAGGATGTTAGCGTTGCTCTTATATTTGGAGATACCCACATCCATGTCTCACATTCGTACGCTAGAATCATATGATAATTTATGAAATTTTAGAGAATGAGGGGTTAATTTGCCGCTTTCTCAGGCGATGCTCATTTCTTCGAAGGAAATGTAACAAGGAATAAGATCGTAAGCCAATAGCCTTCACTTTTCAACATAAATGCATAGAATCTAAAAAATAGATTTAATCATGCTCATCATCGACTCAATTATATGCGAAATCTCTCTATTACACAAAAGCTTTTGCACATTTTGAACGCTTGCAATTTGCATGAGGTTTGAATGCATTATTGATGTATTCGAGGCTGAACACATTGACTATTCAGCACTTATACGCATCCAATTATTATGTTTTTAAGCTATGCCAGGAATATCTAAACGAAATTTTCTTTCACAAAAAAGCTCAACACCTCAGCGACATTTTTGTTTTGCAACCCACAAGCTTTTGAAAAAGTTTCGTATGAGTCACTGCGGCGCTTGACATAATCCTTGTACTGTTTCAAAGGACAACTAGCACTCGGACCACTCATACATCCTGGTAGAGGCTTCGGTGCCGAATTCACAAGAACTCGCACAAATGATCCAGTGTACGCTGCAGATGTACAATCGAGTCGTTCCAATGCAATGTGACCCAAAAATGACAGGAAGCTACTCGTCTTCCATGCCCGCATATAATTAATTTGGTCGAGTGGAAGCATAGGGTTTATACTTGTCGTGCCAATATACTCAGAATCGTTGTATAAACCCAATGCTGTTAAAATAAAAGGTGGCATTTGTCGATGGGTGATGCTAATGTACAGATGTTGATCCTTGGCGTCTGTTTGACTAAGAAGATCACTCGTTGCAACAACCCAAGGCATGCCGAGGCTAGGTGATATAGTATTTCCGTAACCCAACTCATAGTAGTACTTGATATCGCAATAGTACTCGAAAGATAACCATTCCTCGGACGTAAAAATTCCACAAAATGGTGAAGAACCTCGAATGATGGTTTCATATCCGCACAGTTCTTGCATCGCCAGCACATCTGCGGCCGAAAAATGAAATCCCGATCCCTTAGCGGTCAATCGCGCTATAATTGGCACTGTGTAATATTTTAGCCATATATCCGCTATTTTCCAACCATTTGAACCATTAAATATTGGACAGGTTTTTCTCGGTGTTAGCGTATTGGCTCCTTGATCCTTGCCTTCTGAGATGCTAACTACCTTGCCGATCGTGTCATGTCCAGCATAAAGCCCAGCAAAGAGTGCCTCGGCGCTTTGCAATGTTCGATTCGAATGTGATGCCCAGACTTTGAAAGACGCATCGTTTTTCACGGGTAGTAAATCTGCATATCGGTGTGCGAGGCGAGTGCCAAAGTTAAATGATTCGAGAAATCCAAGTTTGGTAAGTTTTTCTATTTGTTCATCACTATTCGAGATGGGTGAGGTCCAGTGGGTTAAGAAGGCTAAGTCTGTCGAATTGGAAAAGTCAGCGTAATAAGACGAGTTCTTGAGACGTTGCAAAAATGGTTCGATAGTCAACAGGTAATGATTGTCGTTCACGTAAATAGAGCCGTGGCGTACGAGATAGACGGCCTTATCGACTTTGCAACCTTGAGGAGGGTCAGGATTTAGTCCGTCAGAGTTAGATTCAAAATAAGGCGAGATGCTGGTAAGATGTTGAAGGACGTTGAATTTGTAGGAAGCATAGGTTGGACCACCGGAGATTATCCATGGAGTATATAAATCGATGGCATACGCTTTAGTAGTAAAAGTAATTAAGAGTAACAGTAGACAAGACATACGACGAGAGTAATGATTTACTGTTGTCTTGATTGCTGGCAAGCGAGTAGTGAGTGAGGGCAATGTATGGATGATGTTGACGGTTGATCAATAGTAATAAAATGATTGCTACGTTGGCCTGATCATATGAATGAGAACAAATATTTGTTTTTCTTGCTCTTACACGTTACTTTACCTAATCCAAATGATATTCTCCTTATGCTGATTAGTCATGTTCATAGAAAAAAGTATTGGTAACACCTAATTGTTCCTTTCAACCGATCTGACCTTATCACGGGATCAAAAATAAAATTTCTTGTTCTCTTCTTCTCATTGTTCGTACAGAAGGGATTCACTATTTATTTAAGGATTCATAAATTGTGAAGCTAAATCAAAAATTACATTACAATGATTTAGTTTTTCCCTAGGCTGAAAGGAGTGTGGGTGTGGATGTGGATGTGCGTATGAGTGAAGAGATGGCTGTACCCATACCCCCCCCCCCCCACACACACACACCGTGTTATCGAGTTACAAATTCTATTAATGATACTATTTATTATGTAGATCGTTGTTTGAAATATAATTCACGAAATTTTGCATGGTTATGCCCAACAGAATACGATGATAGTCTAGCGCAAAAACTACTCATTACTAAAAAAACGTAATTAATTATGGATTTAATAATTTTTATGTTAATGTTGATTCGTTTAACATTCAAAACAATTTTCTAAATTTATATTTATTTAATTACAATGCACTAAATTATAACTTTAAAATATCAACGATGTTGCATTATAGTTTTTATTTCATATCTTAATCGTGAAAAAAATTTATCTATTGTACTAAAATTCGTATTTAACATTACAAATAAAAACCATTGAAACTTCTGTATTTTGCTTCATTTAAAGATGAAATCCAGTTATGTACTTAATAAACAAAATTTAATAGCATCAAGATTATTCTCTAACATTTTATTTTAATTTGCTTTTCATCAAACTAAAACTTTAAAAATTCTTAATCTTCTTTTTTTCTTTTAAGTATCTGACACAAACCGTAGTGAATACTCATCTACATAAAACGATTTTAAAGAAAGAAAAATTAATTGCTTATTTTCACTAAAAACTATAAATAATGTGCATAATTCCATCCTTGATACTTGCCACATTTCCAAACACATCATACAACGTATGCTAAAAAACCAATACATTTAACAATATTAATTCATATTAGACTAAGGCTAATCAGTGGTGTCAAAATGAACCTGATAAGAAATATTATTTTCTCCTTTTCATTTTATAACTCTTTTGATATTTTTCAATATGAAGAATAATAGAGAGCAATATGAAGGAACAAGTCTCTTTGCTCATGTATAAAACAGCTGTATGTCTAGCTGATGACAGATAATGAATCATATTGATGACTAAATGATCAGTGAACCATGTTCTTTCGAGAGCCATTGATACGTGTTTATAGAGTTCTTGTAGTGATGAATATTACAATGGCTAATTCTTAAGCTCGTTGTTACTACAGTTACCTGATCGATAGAAATATAAAGTTTCTAGTTTAGAATGACAGAGAAAGAATATTTCGAGTAGCAGTTTCGTGAAAAATTGTAATGACGATTATTCGTTTTATTCGAAATTTTGATTTTTTCGAATAATCGTTATTCGAGCTTCGCACCGTATTTCGCATTCTTGACGAAGTCGAGACGCCATCTAGGTGATTATTTCTTCACTACTTTCAGAATCAATATCGATTATCATTTGCTATTGATAATTTGAACCAGATCAAGTTAGAATTGCCACATGTAAACAACTTTTCATTATCCATATGGCTTAATATTTTACAAATTTCATGAATTACAAATTCAAAAAGCCCCACAACCTTCACTATCTTATACTGACAAACCCCATTTTTCACATGCTTTAATTTGGTATAAAATTTGTGATTGATGGTATTTCAATTCACAGAGTTACCAACTGGAAAAAACCTTTCATGTAAACTGTTTATAATAGGCCTCGAGGGCATATGGTTACTATGATATAATAGGCCTTGTAGACTTGGGGGTGCCCCTGTAGTATAGGACTTGATGACCTAAGGCTACCTCAAAATAATAAAACTTGAAGACCTATGGGTACCTCTATATAATAGACCTACAGGACCTAAGAGTCCTCCATAGTATACGCTCTGAAAACCTACGGGTACCTTCATAATATAGGACTTGAAGACCTAAGGGTATATCTAGAGAATAAACCTTCAGGACGTAAGATTACCACCATAGTGTAAGCTTTGAAGACCTATTGGTACGCCCATAGTGCAGGGTTTGCGGACCTACGTGA